AAGGCCATCGTCACTTGTAGTGTATGGTCTGCAGTCAACGCTCTTCTCGTTTTTTGAAATGGAGGGTATGAATCACCACAATTTAACCAATAATCTGGCGGGGAGAGGGGGTTCCCGTTAGAAGACAGAGTCCTACACTTGCGACGAAGCATTATTGGAGTGAAGTACAAATAGGCCTGTTGTTCGACTCGACCGGGGACTTCTGCTATTATAAAAAAAAAACGTGTTTAAATAAAGTGGTAGTGTGTGCCAAAACTTACAAGCAGCTGGCAAAACGATACATGGGCCGTATACCATCCTTTCCCCAATGAGACGATGCTGTTTCTATCCTAAGGCTGGGAGACAGGGTTGCGTCATGACCCTCCGTTGAACGCGTGATGTTGTAGCAGTTTACGGAGTACTACAACTTTCATCTATGGCGCTGCGAACGGCGGAGAGCACAGACAATTAGAGAACGGCGCCTGGCTCGGCTACAAACCTCAAGGAAGGAGGTGAGAGTCCTAGGACTAAGGCTTGAAGGGGGAGGAACTCCAGGACATGGGTGAGCCAGTTGCAGAGCGGCGAAAATTGGGATGGGTAAGGTCACAGTGGTCATCAGCCACTGATAATATGAGAGAGCGCAGACGAGAGCATCGGATTTGGGCGACATAAAGAACCGAATTCAAGTAGTCCGTCGACCATGCTGGTAGCTACGCTTCCCTGTTGAGGCACTCTTTTTTTCTGAGGGGTCGCGCTACCTAGAGTCTGGAAACGCAGAGTATGGCCAGTCCTATGACGCGACCCTGTCCCCCCCCCGTCCCAACCATAGGATAGGGTCAGAGTGGGGGACGCATAGCCTTGGGAAAGGATAGGATAGGCCCTATGCCAACCCTTGCACAATCTGCTAAAGCATTGAAAAAAAAAGTAGTCAACAAAACAAGCTGCAAGTCAAGTCCTTATATTCCGAATTTTTGAGTCTCTTTTTTGTTTTGATAACTGAGTGCCTGAATTGTTTCGTTCTGTTGACTCTGGCTGATGGCTTGATTAGACACAGTAACGTCTAATGTTTTTATTTTTCATTGCAGTAGCCCAAGCAACTATAATAGTATGCTACCTATCACTTCAACAAACCTACCGAATTATTTTTGGTTTACCAATATGGTAAAGCAGGCATGCTGCCTGCTTCACCTTAGTGAAAGGTTTAGATATGTTTCCTTAGGTTAACAACATCACGTACAACTGCAATAGCATGTCTCTTATACGAAGAAGAAACCCGGCATTTAATTCACACCAGTTGGCGCCGCACGCATTGCGCGCGCACAACACAGATCTGCGGCGAATTTTGATGGTGCGACGAAAATTTTCAAATTTGGCTTGATACACCACGAATATCTGAATTCTCAGCTAAATTCTATCCGCTCCATCATCGACGGCTTTCAACCTCTTTTTTCTTCGTCAACCATTATCCTCTTTTCGGTCTCCGGACTGCTTCCGGACAATAAATCTCGTGGCAAACTCCGCCTACTTCGGTGCGTGCCCCGCCCACTAATAGCAGTTGACCTCCCTTTTCCCTCGCCAACCTCTACCCCGTTTTTCCACTATCCCTAGGACTTCTTGGAGCCGAGTTATTAATTTTCGTCGCAAACTCCGCCCACTTTGAACAAGTGCCGCCCCCTGATAACAGTTGACCTCTTCCCCTCGCCAACCTCTAACCCCGTTTTTCCCTATCTCTGGGACTTCTTGGAGCCGATTTATGAATTTCCGCTGCGAACTCCGCCCACATTGGTGCGTGCCCCGCCCACCGGTGAAATTTGGCCTCCTCTCCTCTATCCACCTCTACTCAACCTTTTTTCGGCTCACTAAGACTTCTCCGGTCCGAATGATGAGGATTTGCAGAAAACGCTGTACACTTCAGAGCCCACCCACGTCATGTATGCTGGCAACACCTTGAACATTGCTTCCCTACATTGAACTTATTTGTGGTCTGTAGGCTTTCTCCCAACCGAGTTATGAAATTTTTCATAAAGCACTGCTTTTTTAGAGAACGCCCCGCCCACCGGGGGTGGGTCTCCCTAATTCGATGTGACTTACCAATGCACACTTTACCCACTTTTTGGCCCAGTTTCGAGGTCGTTTTGTCACTGAAATCGAAATCTTGGTCTTCGGTACAGTTCATTTCGACGCACGCCACGCCCTCTGTGGGCGGGGCTCCGCTTAGCTGATGTGTGTTTTGTACTTTCGTGAGACCTTGCCCACATACGTCTCACAACCTTGTTTTTTTTTGGGGGACCGCGGTCCCTCCAGGCGGATGCTCCGAGAGCTAGGGAATTTCGCTGACCAAATATACGGAAACGCAACAGACAACAGACGGCAGAATGCACAGACGCATAGACGCAGACGAAGCGCACTTATAGTAGGATCATTTAATACTTAATGCATTCTGCGTTGCCCAGGGCCGCCTTGGTTCCCGTTCTTTGAAGGTTGGCAGTGGCGTGGCTGTTTCACTAATCTTGAGAACTCTATGATATTTGGTCTCAATAGGAAGGAAGGACGGAGTTCCCCTACGAAAAGGGATTACTCTGTAGGCGGCCCAAACAATTCCCCTTTCTCGACCTCCATACTTATCCTGGAATCTCCTTCAAAGTCTTCGTTTAGCGCTTTTCTTTGAGCTTTCGCAGGCACATCGCAGATTTTTTAGCAACCAGATTGGTCCCCCCGCAACCGCCAGACCCTCCTCGAGCTTGGCATTCCTCGAGGTGACGTGGAATTTTACTCATGAAAAAGAAAAACTTGCAACATTTTGCATAGATCTGGGAAGTTTGTAAGAACCCTACTTTCAGAAAACACCAATTTTCTGGGCATCCAAATCTGCCTACCCTATGAATTAAAAATTAAGCCTTGTAGTAGTATTTATACACGAATACCGACCTCTTCATTTGAAATGTTATATCCTTTTACAATTGCGTTCTTATGAGATGTGATACGAAAATTTTGGGTCTCAGATTTGTGTTCTTTGAAAAAACTTTCAACTTTTGCAATCAATCTCAGAAGAAAAAACGTCCCGTTTTTCCGTTTTTTATGCACATGCGAATTTCCAACACTCATACTTTCATATGTAACATCCATATCATCATTTAAACTTTTTTCCCAAATTTTTAGGATAACTAGAGACAGTTGGCAGAGAGGGTCAGAAAGCGCTAGGTACAAATTTGAAACGATCCCTCTTTCAAAAGTCCCGTTTTTTCGTTTTTTTTTTCTAGAATTTATAGGCCGATTCAAAATGCGTGAGTTTCAACATTCGAACGTTCATCGAACTTCCTCTTTCTACAATTATCTTGTGGCAGATCCCCCATACACAACTTAAGACCTTGCAGGATTAGAGCTTTCGTAGGGATTTTGAGAACGATTTCGAAAGGTTATTCGCTTCGAAAAAATAGTTCGCGTGTTCCGCTCTTTTTCCCTTTATCGCTTTTTCGGCCATATTCTTTAGACGCGATTTCATTCTTCAAATAACCATGAGTTCCTTCAAAATTCGTATTGTGGAAAGCGGTGAAAACCTTCAAATTCTATACGATCAGAATTTCATAGCATTCGAAAAGCATTAAAACGAAAACCTTTCTCCATAGAATTTTCAAGCAGCCTTCCCGCCTAATTCGCTACACCTTCCTCCACTTTACATTGTCTGGAGAACATCGAATTTGCTTATTCGTTGCTCGACTGAAATATAGATGCGATTTTTAAGGTCGACTCCAGCCCCGGGGTGCGTCAATGGACTCGTCTTGAGGTTAGTTATACGAAGTGGTGTTTGAAAGTGTGTCCTCTTTTGCCACTTAGATATGACTTGGCACCTTCGAATTCCGTGATTGGGCTTTGTGGTGAAGACCTCTCCTCCCTTCCGTTGGCCAGATACGACCCTCTCGCTTATCATTGCACCACACGGCTGACCCTAGGCTTGCATTATACAATAGTGCTTACGACTGTTTCGTGCTTTGTTTATGCAGGAAAAATCACGAAGCTTTGAATGTAGTACGGCTGCATTACTGCCGTGTAACTGTTTCGTGCTGTGGCGTTCTGTCTCCGGTTCTGTTGATCCTTTTAGCTCATAAGTCGCGTTGCAGTGTGGTCGCATATATGCAAGCTCGGTGCTTTTCCTTCTCCGTGATTCTTTAGGCCGCCCAGCAAAAGCTCCGATCGGCCGAAGATGGCGAAAGAACCGCAAAGAAAATGATAAGCTAAAAGATGCAATCGCAGGTGTAAATAGAATTATTACAATTAAAGGAACATGATCCTGTCCAATCTAGGCTTTATCCATCTAACGAGGACAACTTCTTATCCTTCGAATTCCATCTTTTCATGCTTTATCTTTTTCTTTGCCCGTTCCCTTCGCCATCTTGGCTCGATGGAGCTTTGCTGCTGCCCTAAAGAATCACTCTATATAATTGAAAATTTCACTATGCTCTACTATTGCTAACCAATACCTTGCAATCGTTGTTCGTCTAGACTTATATCCTTCTCTGTAGAAGTGTTTCAGCATCATTTTGCGTTGCTTTTCGTCTACAATCGTTGTTTTATGGGCAATTTTCAGCGTGCAAAAGGTAACATACCATCGGGAGCATTATCATCGATGAATTGAGCTATGCTTCTGCCACAGTTGGTTGGGCTTCGTCTCGGCAAGTTGTGGTTCTGTCGCAATGGCTTGGCACGACTTAATACGTTATTTGAGGAATGAGTGTCAATGGGTAATCGTTGCGAGCTTTTTTACCTGGTACACCATTCGTGTCACTTTGTCCTTCGCGTTTTTCAAGGGCACGCACACATGTGGTAGAAGAGCGGGATCTCCGATAAACTCACACCCATTCTGTACCTAAACTATTACACAATTTGAGTGCTGAAGTACTGAAAGGGACAAGAGATGTTTCGAACCGCTATGCTGTTAATGAAGTTCTTCTTCCTGCATCCCGTGCACCGTATTATCACTAGCCCTCGCTTGGTGGTGCGCCCCCTGTTACAGAAAGGCATACACGAATATCTCCCACTGCAGATAGCTGTGAGCAATTTTGCATCTACCTATTAAAGACCGCGAATTACCTATGGGTCTAGGTGGTTTTCAGAATAGAAGGGGGTGTTAAATTGTGCGATAGTAGCCAAAACAAAGGTGTCCTCCAAGAGGCTCGTCGCGCGCCGCAGGAAGAGATGCAGACGAAGCAAAGAACGAGTCGCAGCGCAGTGTAACCATACTACGTCTCATATCGCACAGCACGCTTCGCCGCGCCCGGGCCTCTTGGGCACAACCCCGGTTTCACTAGTCCGGGCTGGCCTCAGCTGAAGATAATACCTGACACACTAGCTCTTGTCGCGGGTTGCTGGTTACGGGCCCGCGCACGTTGCTGGCTCTGCAAAGCAAGTCGCCTTCGTGTTGTGAACGTTGCGGCTACGGGACGTCGAATTCTTGAATGTGCAAATCGAAATTGTCTGGCTACCATAGAATATACCGACCTCCCTGAGGGTACCATAATAGAGCAAGAGAAGGCAACGGTATTTTTTTCTGAACTCCATTGTTCCACCACTATCCAGTACAGTTTTCTGGTTCATTTCAATAACCTTTGTCTCAGAAAGAGGAACTAATGGATGGTATTTGCGAGATACTTCAGAAATGGTATATCCCTCCAAAGAAAGGTTGGAAGCGTTCCCGAAGTGAGTTGACTAGTTTTGACCAGTAAAGGAAAAGCACGATTTTTCAAGCGAAACCTTAAAAATTACAGTCCACCGTTTGAATATGTGTGCCAGAATTTGCAGCGACTGCTGGACAGCGGGCGTGTTGTCCGTTCGTTTCCGTCAACTGCAACTTGTTCTCTACGTAATGATGGGTCCAGAATGTCCACGTAGAGACTTGCCAGCTCGTATATTACGTAAGCTCGGTTCATTGATGAAATCACTTTACACTGATCTTGATTGTAGATTTCGAAATTTTCTGTTTTCATGTTCTGCGTGTGAAGTTTTTCTTATCTTCCTTGTACATAGGGCTTTATGATTACCTCCTGCACACGATTAGGGTCATATTTCATTGGGAAAGCTGATTTTTTGTTGGGTGCTATTCACTGTCGAGCAGTAGCTCTAAGTCAAATAGAAATTGGTTCAACAGTTGTCTACCTTTGATATTTGCAATTTGAACACGCGCTGCTCACACAGCAACGTCATTTTCTAAGTAAGTTATCCTTCATGAAGAAGAGTCCAGCTTTGTGGCAGGGCAATCTAATTCTTATGCACATTTCCTATTCCGAATATCCCAGACTCGGTAAACTCGACTCATTTTCTCTAGATTATTTAAAGGCTCAACCGAGAAACCTGTAACATATGGATCGAGAGCAAAGATACAAGCAATAGTGACACTTAAAGATATAATAGTTCCGTTGAATGATGAAAACCGTGAACATATACTTTTCCGTCCGTTGTATTTTCTTCCAATTCTCACGTACTTTGTTCCTTACCACTGGACGAATATTTGAGCGGTGTATTCCCCGGCTCAATTTCAGCCTTCCCTATGCATTCAGATGAGTTTCACTCGATGTAAACTCCTCACCCTGTGTATGCTTTAGCTTTCCGTTAACATTGGAGTAAGGCACAGCGGACGTCTGTGAACATCGATAATTTTCTTGTCCGTAATAGTTAAAATGATCATCTCATTCATGTCTTCATCTTTGTCAGGGAAATCACTACTGTCGTTCTTGTGATGATGTCTGAATATAATCGATATCACTTCTCATTTAGAAGTAATAAGATTGCAAGGTATTGGATCACTTTCGCGCCTTGCACTTTGTTGTTTGGATAGGACCTTAGGGAGCTAGTCTTGCTCAATGTTCGCATAGAAAAGGCCGCTATGGCATCACGCAGAGAGCTGTGACGCGATCTTGAAACTCGCAATTTGATATCATCAGACCGCGGTTTGTGCCGAGGTGGCGTGCGCGATCGTGTCACTTGGCACAATCGCCGGGTTTGATGGACGTCTGGAGCTTTCAAATTGGTGCCAGCACCGTTTGTGTCAAGACACTGATTCCTTCCCGATTTCATACACGAAACTAGAAAAATATCGAATAGCGCTAAGTTCAGAATTGCCGCAGCTACTGTTATTCCACCTGCATGTAGACAGACGGCCGACTGGCAGACAAAGCTTCGCAGTAGTGCTACCCAATGAGTGATAAATTCATTCCTTTCCATGTAAATATAAAGTTCGGACTGGTTAAATAGTTTTGTGGATTGCTGGCCAGATACAAAACTATTTTTACTCGCCGTGCACGTTGTCAGCGTGGTCTCGCCGCACAATGTTTGCCCGATGTATCAATACATTTATCTCTACGCCTCATAAGTTTTCTCTCTGAAAAATTTATTCGCTGAGCCCCTATTAGTGGTCGTAAGCGCTCATACGGCCACAGATGCACTCTCATGACTCACATAAGGAAAAACGTGAGAAAATTGAGGGAAAGAAGGATGTTTTGCCCCTGCATAGGGCTAAAACCGCTTACGCTTGTTGTTACAGTATTCCTGTACATTCTTTCATACACACGTACGATATTCGGGAGCATAGCAGACCTCGAGCTCACTTCAAATACTTAAAATGCCTCTTTGGGTTTTTTTTTCGCTTTTTTTTCTGACTCCCATAAATGCCCTTGTTTTAAAACTCGTTTTCCTGTCGCACGTATGTGCCACCTCTCTTGTTGAAGTTTCTGATCGTCGAAAAGCTTTATTAAGCACAAGTGGCCAAGAAAATATTATAGATGATATGTTAGGTTGCTTCTATCCAATCCTCTAGGTTTTGTTCTCATGAAACTCAACAAAGCATTGTGCACTCCACATCCACACATATACAGAACAAATTAGTACTATTGTCACAATAAATTATCACAACCATGAGACCCACAAGACACAACGGCAAGTATAATATAACAAAATAGAGCAATTTTCATTATAATTGTTTTATTTCCTTGCCAGTCTTCTTGAGTGGCTTCTAATATGTCACTGGCTGGTAAGTCGGTGGTGACCACCACTTGCTTTGTGTCCTTCTAGTTCGAATCTGGAATGGAGATGTCGGGTCCACGTCCACTGTGAAGGGGCGTGGCCCAGGTTACGGTATGAAAGGAGGCTGGCGCTGGCTAGCCGGGGTTCGACAGTGATGGTCCGAGCCTTGACCACACCCCACCCCTCTCTTCGGACCCTGTATTCCACATTACTTTATATTCAATAAATATGTATAGCCTAATTTGTTTTTGTACTAAAGAACCGCTACACATTCAGATATAGGCGTCATGAACTTATAATCTGATATGGAGGTCCCGGGGAGATTTTAGTTTGACAAAAAGAATGTAGTTTTTTTTTCTTCAGTAATCATAAAATCATCGGGCTCTCTGTTTTGAAACACCCCCCCCCTATACCCATTACCCCTCTTCGCCTGATAAGTCGACAGATCAGAAGAAGACCCCTGGAAACCAACATTCAAGGAACAATCAACTGTATACAGGTATTCTTATCAATTGATATTCTTTTCTCTATATATTTATATTATAAAAAAAACAGATTGCCAAATCTGGAAAAAAAATGAGGAAAAAGGACGCTTTTTCTCTCTTCTATTTGAATCGGGTATAGTGCATGAGAAGCACTCTTTTTGATTTACATTGTGCTGACACTGCATAAGCTGCATGTCATTTATACAATTTAGTCCTGGCGACGAGATCCCCTTTCACGGCCACCCATCATTTTTGCCAGAAGTATTCACTTTACGTCGAAATTTGTGCAGTTTTTGTGAACATATTTTTCGCGTGATAAGGAATCTGGACTGACGGATGGAAGAAGAACTTCCCCCAGTCTGCAGATTTCCTTTAGTTTCTACCCTCAACTGATTGATGAAATGATGCTCAATCATCACTTCAGTCTATGAGGCTTGCTTTATTTTTTTACTTTATGACAACATCGAGACAAAGTCTCCTTGTTAGTCTTCTGCTGCGAGTTCACGGGTTTTCCGCGATATTTGCCGTGTAAACGTAAGTACTAGAATTAATTCACAGGTTATTATGGATGGTTTACGGGAGACAGACCTCGACTCCATCTCTAGTTAGCCTGCACCTCTAATGGTTAACCTTATAACATCTATCATTAAAGTAATCATAATTGTATTCAAGTTTCGGGGAAGTTATTTAATTCCATTAAGCTTACCTAATGCCGTTTTTGTTTTGAAAGGACTCGTTCGCCATTTAGTCGACTCAAAATGAGAACTAGCTACTCTCACCCGCTTACCCTCAAGTCATAAGAACCCTGCAAGCAACGTGCAATGTAGTTTGTTTATGTGTGCATGCGCAGAACATGTATTCGGAAAACTATTATCCGAAAACAAGTCGCGTAACTACACAGGCCTTGCCTTCATATCTCTAGTGACCCAGCGAATGCGCAGTCGCTCTAGCGGTCACATGAAAATAGATTGCGTAAGTGCCCTAGCACCATAGCAAAACAACTTGCTAGTCGACGACAGTATCTTTGACCCATGGAATAGCAAACACATTACACCACTGTTCAAGTGGGTACTGTGCATTTTTTTGCGCAACGCTGCTTATCTGGGCAAGCGGCGTTGTTTGCTACATCACGATGATATGATGCATCTTGTGCAAACATTACAATATGTTTTGCACAGTCTCCTAGAACGTTTGACCAAGAAGAAAATAAATGAACTAGAAAATCTTTGCCAAAAGACCCTTCGATAATCGAAATCGATCAGACTATATGGTAATTGAAACCAAGTCTTTAATTAATGATCATTTATTAATTAATCAACGTGAAGCATTCATTCATAAATCAACAATAAAAAAACCGCGAAAAGTTTACTTTTCTGTTCATTCTTCTGCTGCTTGTGGCTGCTGCGATGTCCCTCCCGTTGGCCCTGCGCGCACATCTCGGGGAACGTAGGTGGATTCCTCAAAGAAGGCCCTCATATGCCATAAGTATACACGCATGTCATGATTCGCCTGAAAAAAAATGTAAGTAAATGCATAGTTAGTCATGGATGGAAGTAACTTATTGCTCACCTTAGACACCAACTCATACTTCCGTTTGCAGTCCTCTATCACGCTATCCATCATCTCCATTAAAGTCCGATGTGCTTCCACCTCCTGTTGATTGAAATATTCTAGGCCTTGTTTCCATTCACTGACTCGGGCGTAGTCGAAAAGCTCCTTTTGTAATTCGACAGCAGCACTCTGGCATCCCTCGCAACGGTCAGCCTGAAAAACAAACATTATTTCTTACCGTTAGCATGAAAAATAAAAGAAAAACATACCGCCAAACGACGGAGCATTTCTTTTCGGAATTTCTCAAACTCCATTGCACTAAATTTATCACTGAAAAGGATTAGTAGAAATAAAAACAAGAAAATTAAATGTTTCCTCTTAACTTTTGCCGACTTGAACAAGTATGAAAGGACTAAAACCTTTTTTTTTCAAGCTCAACATAACACACTTTCAGCATCTTTATTGAAAAGAAAACAAAAAAAATGAGAGATCACAACTCTCTAACACCTTCAGCTCGAGGCCGCATGGCCCCGTATATCCCCATTCCCAAGCGGGATATCTGTTCCCGCAGGCAAAAAGAATCCTGAAACAGAAGATGATTACCTTCAAACATTTCTGAATTGAAAAGAAAACATACCTTTATCACCATTTGTGTCGTATCCTGCCAATATTTCATTTTTTTGAACTTCTCCTCAAATTCCTTCTCGAACTGCTTACGGAGAGATACCTGTTCGTCCGCGATTGCTAGACACATCTCCTGTTTGGCTTCCCGGAGTTGTCGCGTGGACTTAGTCCACGAGCGCTCCTCTATGCAAAAAGCACATTCTTTCTGAAAAAAATCACATTTTTTGCATAGAACAAATAGTGAAATATAATTTCTTAGCAGAGCTAAAACATACCTTTTTCACCTCTTGCTCATCGTCACTATAAGTTCCTTCGTACGTTGGACTTCCTAGTGGACTCCAGCTCTCCGTGGGTGATGGTGAGTGCTGGCCACAAAGTTCAGGGTCAAAGTAATTCTCCATTGCAAACTCTGAAAGTTCAATTATTAGACAAAAGTATAAAAAAAACCAAAGCACAATCTAGAATTCAAACATCTCAGCATTCTACTAAAGGTAATAAGTATAATACTAAGAGAACTGAGAGATAATTAGACTAATAGGAAGATTTGTTTTGAGGAAATGAAGTGAATATAAAGATTAGAGCCAATAGTGAAGTGGACACAATAACTATAGCAACTCAGAAGCCTATATATATCCGTCGGTAGTCGGAAACATGAAAAGAAGAAC